AAATAAACATCCACAACAGCAAAATGTAACTAATTCGTCTCTATAAAAAGATACAGTCCCCTTTAATTTAGTCTCCTACGCTCTACAAATTGATAGGATGGTCCTCTCTCTGCAGGGACAGCTTCCACAGTGAAGACCGGTTCAGTTAGTGTAAAGTGGTATCACTTCAGTACATTCAATGGAGAAAAACACGGCATCTCTTTTAGTTCTACAGCAAGCCCACACCAGCTGTTATATAGAGTGAATTTTCTTCCATTATTTGTTGTTTTCTCTGATTTGTTTTGTTTTGTTTTATTTCCTTATATTTTTCAATTTTGTTTACATTTTTTTTCATTGAGGTTAACAGCCCCCCCTTTAAAATGTCTATGCACACTCCTCCCACACATCAGCAGTGTTGATTACTGGTTCATATTTTGTGGTTTGTTGCTTATCTGATCCGGAGTCTGATCAGATTGTGGCATTCCTGCCCGTTTGGAGCTCCCTCATGTCACCCAAACTGGCCCTGGATCAGTATCTGTAAAGATTCTCAGTCATCCAGGTCATGATCAAGCTTGAGAAGTTCAGTTTAGGCAACTGGAAAAGAAGTTTACGTAAAATGGAACACCTTTTGCAGAAAAATACAGTGCTTTTATTGACAATTTGTGTTACTCAGACGGTTGAAGAAGCACAATCTACATCTACAGGGATCTGTTACAATATGAATCCCTTTATACATCTGCTCCATCATCACTTGACAGTAAGTTATAAGAAAACAAGACTATGAAAAAATGTCCGGGCATATGTGGCACCCGGACTGCAAAACTATGCACCAACGCAGACTAGAATAGGCTGATTTTTATACTACAGCTATATTCAACCTGAAAGAAATAGGATGGACAATTAAATTAAAGCACAATTACAAGAAGCAGAAAATGGACAGACAGGAATTTTAAATAACTCAAAACGTTTTAATATAAGACAAAGAAAAAAATCTCAGCAAGTAAGATTTAAGTTTTTAAATGATTTGATTTATTCAGTTAAAGAGAAACTAAACCAGCCTGATTTGTCTGATAATATTTCACTAATAATTTCACTTTTTCTAATCCATGCATACAAACAAACATGCAAACACCCAGACCCGATTGCTAGAGATCAATCCTCAATCAATCCCTTAAGTAAAATTTGATCAATTAAAGCAGACAAAAAAAAAATAAAGGCAAAGTGCAGAATACTTGTAAAAAATAAAAATTTAAATTAAAGGGAAACATTCTACAAAATCTGACAGAAAATTTCTTCCTCCTCACATTTAGAGGCACATTAAAGTAGGCCGGAACATTTCCGTAACGACAGTAAACAAACTTAAGTTTTAACTTGGAGGGATCTGTTTCTCACATGACTTCATCCTGGAAAAACAGGGATCTGGGTGTGTTGAAAAGACGCCTTAGAGAAACATCTACTGCTAATATAACAACATAAACAATGATGACCATAAAGCAAACAGAGGATTTATGCTTACTTTTAAACTGAACTTATGCTTTTGAACTGTGGAAAAGAAAACACTGTTAAAATTAGATCAGCCGGCTCAGTGGAATTACACTACAGTTGCTGCAGACTAACCCGGACTTCAGTTCTCTGAAGACACAAGTCTGGTCCTTCTGCAAACTGCTTGAAATATGCAAAGGTACCTGGCTCTTAAACTGGTATTAAAAACCAAGACTGAAGACCCGCCGTGCTGATCTACTTGATAACAAACCAAATTCAACATATAACATACAGTTTATGCCTTTTAATCAGTACCTGATGTGTTTTAGCTAAAATTAAACAAACACCGCAGGATACTGGTATTAAAACTGTAATATTTTCAGGCTATCTGTTTGCTTTTGGATATAAATCTATAAAAATCTTTAACTTTACTACTTATGTTTTAACTACAGATTTAAATGGAAGAATGATGATGTTTTTAAATACAATCTTTATCCTTTTATGGTTACAGTCATGGATGCTGCATCTTGGCTAATGGATGCTGACATTTTGCATTTTTGCAGTAACGTGGCAATGTGGTAGGGGAGGTTTTCGCAGAGGCCTTTTGACAAGCACTACCAAGACTTAAACAAATGCAAAATCCTTCAAGAATTGCTTTATATTTTACTGTAAGTTGAACAAACGTAATGTAAATATACTCAACTTCTTTATTTTAAGAGGTAGACTTAAATAAACCTCACGCAATAAATTGATGAAGAGTATCAATGAAAAACAGCACACAAATATATACTATTAATGTAAGTGATGATTTTTTTTATGTTTTTTTGATGATTTTAAAAGTGTTTCTGGTGTTTGCCGTATTATTACGTTTTTTTGGTTGCTTTGCAGAGACTGTAGGGATGAGTAAAGGTTTCACATGACCCAGAGTCAACAAAGCTCAACATCTGAAGCCCCACCAAGGTACACAGCATTAGAAGACTATTTGATTACCATCAATTTATTACAGTGTTACTGAATTACATTAGACACAGAGCGACTGGAGATTTGCTGGGTGATTCTACGTTATCCAACAGAGCTGCGGCTCCAAAAACAGGTCACTCTGTCTGCAATGTTGCAAAGGAGCGCAATCAGTAAATATCCCAAACCTTCAACCAAACCAACAAAAGCGATACACTATGAAAAGGTCAAGTAATGTTCTTTTAAAATATATATATATACCGTAAATTCTCTAATATAGGCCCGGGCCTTTATTTCACTCAAGTGCATCGCGGTCCAGGCCTTTATTGGATACAGGCCAGTATT